TCCTCCTCCTCCTCCTCCTCCTCCTCCTCGTCCTCCTCCTCCTCTCCCTCCTCCTCCGTTCCTTTCCTTCTACAGCACTTCTCCCTGTCGCACCCCGGGGCCAGTGTTTAAAGCGGTCAGGGCGTTTCGCCTGTGACTTCCTTACCATCTTTGACTCTGAAGCTTAAAGTTGACAGCAGCTTCGCAAATGGAGGGCGGGCCGTTTTTTACATGTGACTCTCGCCTTAGCGCCGCGCACATTTTCTAAGCATGAGCAACAGCTTCACGGATTGAGGGCGAGTCGTTTTCAACATGTGGCTCTCGTCGTAGCGCGGTGCACATAGGTGTTGAACCATTGCACGGGTTTCGCGGATTGACGGCGGTTCCTTTAAAACAAAAGCTCTCGCTTCATCGCCACGCGCACTCGCTGTAAAACATGCAAGGGTTTCACGGATTGAGGGTGGCTCTCGCCTTAGCGCGGCGCACATTCGTGTTAATCAGTTGCACATTTCACGGTTTGAGGGCGGGTCGTTTTCAATCTGTGGCTCTCGTTTGGGCGCCGCGCACATTCGTTTGAAGCATTTGCAAGAGCTTCACGGATTGAGGGCGGGCCGTGTTCAAACCGTGCCTTTCGCTTGGGCGCCGAGCGCATTCGTTTCAAACGTAGCAGGTGTTTCACGGGTTCTCATCATCAACGTACCAGTAATGGTGTTTTGGAAGGGTTGATTATGCGGGTGCAACAGTTACGTTGGTTTTCTGTGTTGAAATCCTAGGAATGGCGTTCTCGCACAATTCAGGGTCGCCAAGACGCAGCAATCAGGTTGACCCGTGGCAGTGAAATCGCGAGAACCATGTTTTGGCATGCTTCAGGGTCTTCATAAAGGTGTCTTCCAACGAGACAGCTCCATCAATGGAAATGAACCGTTGTAGGGGCTTATGCAGAGGGAGCTTGGAGGGAGGGCTTACTCCAACATCGTTGATGACTCTTGGGTTTACACTGGTCCTCCTTCTCCTCCTACTCCTCCTGTCTCTCCTTCTCCGCCTCCTCCATCTCCTCCTCCATCTCCTCCTCCTGCTCCTCCTCCTGCTCCTCCTCCTCCCTCTTCTCCTCCTCCTCCTCCTGCTCCTCCTCCTGCTCCTCCTCCCTCTTCCCCTCCTACTCCTCCTCCTCCCCATCCTCCTCCTCCTCCTCCTTTCTCCTCCTCCCCTCCTCCTCCTCCTCCCCCTCCACTCCTCGTCCATCCTTCTCCTCCCCTCCTCCTCCTCTCCTCCTTTCCCTTTTTCCTCCTCCTTCCTCCTCCTCCTCCTCCTACCCCTCCTCCTCCTCCCCTCTTCCTTATCTCCTCCTCCTGCTGCTCCTCCTCCCTCTTCTCCTCCTCCTCCTGCTGCTCCTCCTCCCTCTTCTCCTCCTCCTCCTTTTCCTCCTCTGTGAGGCCCCGTGCCCGTGGGGGCGGCGCTGGCGCCCGAGGCGGCGGCCGCAGGCGGCGGCGCCGCCGGCAAGGCCCCGCCCCGGCCGTGGAGGCCGGCGCTGGTGGCGGTGCCGAGCGCCGCCGCGGCGCGGCTCTCGGTCCACACCGCTCCTCGCGGCGGCGCCCATCGGGGCGATCGGAGCGTCGGCGGCGAGCCTCCTGTCTCCTCCTCCTCCTCCTCCTCCTCCTTTCTTCTCGTTCGTCTCCGGCGTGTCGTGGGGGAGGTGAGAAGGAGGAGGCCTTCTCAGAAGGCGGCGGGGCTTCTCAGCAACCCTTTGGCCTTCTCGCAAGGCGGCGGGGCTTCTCAGAAGCCGGTCCGCACCGCTCCTCGTGCTGACGGAGTAAAGGGGGGGCCGCTGCTGGGCAGGCGGCCTTCTGCATCGAATGGGTAAAACGTCTGCGGCGACACCAGGAGCGAGTCCTGCTCAAAGCGGACAGCAGCTGCTATCGTGCTTTGTGCCCAGTCTGTCCGCACCCACTTCGATCGTCCCGATGGGCGCCGCCACCATCGGCGGCGCGCCCCGGGGGGAAGTGAGAAGGAGGAGGCCTTCGCAGAGGGTGGCGGGGCCTCTCGGGAGGCCTCCGGCCTTCGAAGAAATTTCCGGTGTCTTCGGGGAAGGCTTAGGAAACTTGTCAGAAGGCCGGGAGACTTCCGAGCCTTCTGAGATGGCCTTCTCCTTCTCACTTTCCCCCGGGGCTCGGCGCCCATCATGGCGGCGCCCATCGGGACGATCAAAGTCAGCGACGAAAACAAACGGGTCTTAGGCGAGACGACATACGACATAGCGACCTTACGCCACGACTTACGCGGACCGCCAGCGCGGCACGCAGCGTTTGAAGAGGGGACTTACGCGCGATCCTGCGCGAGCAGCTTACGCGCCAATGTCGGCGCAGACGACCCACTGTTTTTGCGTCGCTCAAGTGCGTGCGGACAGAATGGGTAAGAAACCAGACGGCAGCTCCCATCCGTTTTGAGCAGGACTCGCTGATGGTGTCGCCGCGGACGCTGTGTCCATTCGATGCAGAATGCCGCCTGCCCAACATTGGCCGCTGTTGGGATTGGACAAAATTTGTTGTTGGGCATCGTGCCCGCTTTTTCCGTACCTATTCTGGGCGTCCAAAGGCCATACGTGAGGGACAACGGCAGGGGGGGCAGCAACCTCGAGCGGCCGACACATCGCCCGTGTATCGCCGATGCATCGTCGATGCTGCAGGCCGCCCATGCATCCTCTATACATCGTCGGTACATCGCCCTGGTGTCAACGATGCATCGTCGATCCATCGTGGATGCATTCATCAACCGTTCGAGGATCCCTCCCAGTGCCTATCCCGCCCTATCGTTGTTCCGAATAACTAGGGGGGGGCGTTGGGGAGGCAGCCTTCTACGGTTTGCGTCGCGAACATAGCGTGCAACACCGATCTCCGAAAAGCACGCTCTCCCCACCAAACAAACAACTTCCTCCGTGCACGCTGTTCCAGTGAGGCGATCCTCCCGTGAGGCATCCCTGTGTGCACGCAGTCCCCATGCCAGGGCTTCTCCGGTGCAGGCGGTACCCAAGGTGGGTGACGGCCTGTGACAAGCGGGCTGGTAGCGCCAACTCGCACGCTCTCTCTGCAACGCCAATAGAAAGAAGGCGGCGGGGCCTCTCAGACGGCAGGGGGGCTTCTCAAGAACCCGCCTTGCTTCTAAGGAGGTTCCTGGGCATTCCAGGCAGCCCCACCGGGAGGAGGAGGAGGAAGAGGAGGAGGAGGAAGAGGAGGATGATGAGGAGTGGAGGAGGATGAGGAGGATGATGCGAATGCGGATGCGGATGCGGATGCGGATGCGGATGCGGATGAGGAGGAGGAGGAGGAGGAGGAGGAGGAGGAGGAGGAGGAGGAGGAGGAGGAGGAGGAGGAGGAGGAAGGAGGAGGAGGAGGAGGTGGAGGGGAGTAGGAGGAGGCGGAGGAGGAGGAGGAGGAGGAGGAGGGGGGTTCTCAGGAGACCTCCGCCTTCTCACGCGCTCCCCCTCCGCGCGCCACACCCTCGCGGACGCCGCTGATCCTCGCGCCCGCGCCAGGTTGACAAGGGGCACTGCTCGGACCCCCCCAACCTCTCGTCGTGACGCAAAAGCGCGACGAGAGGTAGGGGGTGGAGGTGGAGGAGCAGCAGGAGGGCAGAGGAGTTGGTGGAGGAGGAGGAGGAGGGAGCAGGGAGGTGGAGGGAGGGGGAGCAGGAGGAGAAAGGAGGAGGCAGGAGGAGAGGTAGAGGAGGAGGGGAGGAGGAGTCAGGAGCAGGAGGAGGAGGAGGAGGAGGAGCAGGAGCAGGAGCAGGAGGAGGAGGAGGAGGAGGAGAGGAGGAGGAGGAGGAGGAGGAGGAGGAGGAGGAGGGAGGAGGAGGAGGAGGAGGAAGAGGAGGAGGAGGAGGAGGAGGAGGAGGAGGAGGAGGAGGAGGAGGAGGAGGAGGAACGGCTCTTCCTCAACGTCGTCTTGCAACGCCCCGTGGGCAGAGTGGCTTCATTTCGGTCGATTCAGCTATTGCGAAGGTTGTGCGCAGGATCGAAGTACATGGGGCACGGAGCACGTGCAAATATAACATCGTGAGTCTCTGAGGCCTGGCGGCGCTGAAAGATGCATCGGGACATCGGACATCGGCCTGCATCATGTACCGGGTGGGACTTTTTAGGGCAAAAGGGAAACAACTACAACTCTGAGGACTCTCTGGGATGCCATGGATCGATGCATCCGTATCCCACAGGTCTGCCTGACTCATGGAGTGGAGGGAAGAAAGATGAGACAGAGGATGAGGGGTGTTGGGCCTGCCTTTTATCACCACGGACGGTAATACTATGGGAACGCTGTGTTGTGCGAGGCGCTGGTTCCGTCTACCAGAGCATGATTCAGGAAACGGTAGTTTCACGAAGTGGGGGGGGGTATAATGAGAACGGAACGAGGCCCCTCCCCAAGGCTTCCACAGCGGTGGCAGCGAAAGGCTCGTCCCACGAAGAAGTGTGGGGGGGTAGAACGAGGGCGCTTTGAGGCGCCTCCCCGAATCGTCCACAGTGGCGGCAGCAAAAGGTCGTCCCACGCAGCGGTTGGGGGGCGGGGGCACGACGACGAGGGCGGAACGAGGCCCCTCCCCCAGTCGTCCACAGTGGCGGCAGCGAAGGCTCGTCCCACAAACGGGGGCTAGGCAAAACAAGGGCGGAACGAGGCCCCTCCCCCGAGTCGTCCACAGTGGCGGCAGAGAACGGGAGTCCCACGAAGCGGTGGGGGGGTGGTGGAGCGAGGGCGGGAATGAGGCCCCTCCCCGAATCGTCCACAGTGCCGGCAGTGAAAGGTAGTCTCACGGAGGAGGGGGGTAGAATGGGGGCGGAACGAGGCCCCTCCACGAGTCGTCCGCAGTGGCGGCTGCGAACGGGAGTCCCACGAAGGGGTGGGAGGCGGGGGTGGAACGAGGGCGGAATGAGGCACCACCCCGAGTCGTCCACAGCTACGGCAGCAAAAGGTTTTCCCGCGAAGCGGTGTGGGGGGGAGCACAGTGGAGGCCCGACCACGAGAAACCTTTCACAAGCAACCCAGCCCTGAGACACCAGGACGTCCAGTGATTTCTTATGTGGGAACGCCACGCACTCCATCGCAAAAAAACAATCGAAACCCAAGACACCCAGGGCACCCTGGAGGCAAGCAGGGTGTTTCTTGGCATGGGCCCCCACTGTAGGACGAGGGCGGGAACGCGGCCCCTCCCCAAGCCGTCCTCGCGCCTGTGCGTCCGCGAAGAGAGCCCCCACGTCGTCCTCGGGGGGCGTGCGGCCCTTGACAGGCGCGAGGCAATCCACGTTCGCGAAGACGAGCAGGGCGCGCCGCGCGCGGGTGAGCGCCACGTTCAGGCGCCTGAACTCGGACAGGAACCCCAACCGCCGCTCGCGGTTGGCGCGCACGAAGGAGAGGAGCACCACGTCCGCCTCGGAGCCCTGGAAGCTGTCAACCGTGTGGACCACCACGCGAGGAGCGCCGGGGCCCTCTGGCGGGGCCCTCGCGCCCTCTCTGAGCAGGCTGCGCAGCAGGTGCGCCTGGCCGTTGTAGAAGGTGATGACGACGATCGCGCTCTCGGGAGCTGCCGCGGCGATGCGCCTGGCGACCCTGACGACGGCGCTGGCCTCGTGCGGGTTGCTCATCTCGGCTCGCCCATTTCGCTGGCAGACCTCCTTCCCGCCAGACACGTTCACGACCACGTAGGAGGGCAGATCGAGCCCCGCGAGCAGGTCATCCTGGCCGCCCGCTGCGGGAGACCTCGCCACGTCCACGAGCCGGCCGCCGTAGAATCGGGCGGAAGGAAAGCGGGAGATCTCTGGATGCATGCGGTACTGCTCCTCCAGCATGACGTAGTCGTGCCCAGAACTCATCAGTCTTTCCATCATGGAGCGGCAGTACAGGCCCGCCCTGGCGGCCGGAGAGTGGCACACCGTGGCGCTGAGCTGCATGGGGTCCCCGACGAGCACCAGCTGCCGGGGCAGCAAGCACAGCGGGATGACGGTCTCGGCCTCCACGGCCTGTGCCGCCTCGGAGTATCGTATCACCGATCCACATCCCCAGGCCTGGGCCCCACTAACCGATTTACCCCCTAGATGGGGATATAGGTCGTTCCCTTCGGGTTTCGAGGGGCGTATCCCCAACTGGGGGGTAATTCGGTGGGGGTCTCGAAGGGGATGGGGATGGGGATGGGGGTTGGATAAACGATACTGAGCCTCGTCGACCAGCACCGTGTCCACCGCCTTGTGCAGCGCCCACTGCATGCTTGCCCGGCCGCTGCAGCTCAGTGTGCAGAACACGGCCCGCGAGCTGCGCAGCTGCTCCTCCTCCAGTGCGGCGCCCTCGCCCTCGCGCTCCAGCCGCGCCAGCTCGCGGAGCTGGCCCAGGAAACGGGCCGGGCTGTCTCTGCCGGTTCGGCCTCCGTCGGCTGCTCTGTCCGTCTTGCGAGCCTCTGCCCGTCTTGCGGGCGGCCCCGCCTCCGTCGGCTGCTCTGCCCGCGCCGCCTCCAGCTCCAGGCGCTGCCAGCTCGCCTCCGAGTCGCTGCTCGGCTCGCCTCCGGCCCGCTGCTCTGCCCGCGCTGCTTCCAGCTCCAGGCGCTGCCAGCTCGCCTCCGAGTCGCTGCTCGGCTCGCCTTCTCGCATGCAGCTCTGCCCGCTTGCTGCCAGGCTGCGCTGCAGCTGCGCCCCAGTGACTGGGCGCCCAGCGGGCATCCCCAATCTGGAGAAGGCGCTGGGGGCGCTCAGCCTCAAAGCCTCGAGGGCTTCCACCGCAGCGTTCAGCGCGTCGGCCGTCCTGCAACCGTCAAAGAACTCGACCTGCTCCAGTGAATGCCGCGCGCGCGTGTGCAAGAACGCCTGACGCAAGGGGCCGTCCTGCGGCACGCGCTCGTCCACGCCGACCAGGCAGAGAGGCGTGCGGCTTGCCTCCTCCGAGCTCAGGAAGCCCTCCAGGGCGACCTGCACCGCTCCGTTGCTGGGCGCGCTCACGAGGAGCTGCTTGGCCCCGCCATCCGCGCGCGACTGGCGCGCCAGGAGCTGCAGCAAAGCGACCACTGTCCGCGTCTTTCCTGTCCCCGGGGGTCCCTGCAAAAGGTGGCAGCGGTGCGTGAAGCAATCGTCTGACATGATGTGACCGACCGCGGCGCGCTGCAGGCCGTTGAGCCCCTCCAGCTGCGGCGCGTGAGCGGACTCAAGCGGCGCGCCTGGCGGAGCAGCGCCGGCGACCCCGTCACTCCCCTGGGCCGAACTGCTGGGCTTCACGTCGGGGCCCTCCTCCTGGGGGAACCAGAAGGCACCGATACCGCTACTCCCCCGGACCTCTCCCGGGGTGCGTCCTGACCAGAATTTCGAGTCGAGTCCAGCGGTGGCGACGAGGGCCTCCCGGGAGGCCCAGAAAGGGGAACACGAGGGAAGGGCAGCGGTATGGGTACCTTCTCCTCCTCTGACCTCCTCCGAGTCCGAGAACTTCCGGTGCGTCGGCTCGGGGAGGCCCAGGACCCCCCGCAGGAGCTTCGGCTGGGGCGCCAGGCTGCACGCGGTCCACATCCTCAGCAGCGGCACCAGGTCCTCCAGAGGCCGCAGGCCGCACTCCTCCAGCAGGCCCGGGGCACCCTCGCCGCCGTCGTCGGCCCAGCCCCACGCGCCCGGCGCGAAGCCGGACAGGTGCAGCGGCTGCTCGGCCCCTCCCCAGGTGCCTCCCGCCGTCACGACGAAGAGGGCCGGCGGCAGCCTCCCCCGGCAGGGCACCAGCTCCACGAGCCAGGCGGTGCGCAGCGAGGGCCACTCGCGGGGCGGCCTGCTGCGCAGCGCGGCGCGGAACGTCCAGGGGCGGCCTCGTACGAAGCCCTGCCGCGCAGACTTCGGCACGTGGACCCCGGTGTGGGCTCCCAGTCGTGCGGTCAGCGGGCGGTGAGAGGCCCTGTACCACGCCTCCCGTGCTAGAGCGCGTGCCTCCTTCAGAACCGTCCACCGGAGGCCGGAGAAGTACTCGCCAGTGCTTGCAAACTTGCACGGGAGACAGAAGCCTGCACCCTCTGCGTCCCTGTCCTCGTCGATACCTTCGAGCAGATGCGACCAAAAAGATATGACCGCCTGCTGCAGCTGCGAGGTTCTCTTTCTTTTGCCCATCGGCAGCCCCCGGCTTGTTTCGATCGGACGCGGGTCCACCTGGGCCGCAATGGCCCGAAGGAGGTGCGAGTGGATCATCCACCATCCTAGCACTTTCGGCGGCCTTGGGGCGTTGGAGGAGGACGACGACGAGGAGCAGGAGAAGGAGAACAAATGCTCCCTGGTAGACAAGAGGGTGTACAAGAGCTGGACGACAACAAAAAATAGTGATACTGCTAAGCTTGCGCCATGAGGTCCGAGGCACGTCCCAGGAGTCGAATGTACGAGGTAGCAAACTACCTGCCTCATCATGGGGGGTACTCTCCAAAGTGACAATGGCGGAATATGGGGGAGGACATTGCCCAATGTCTAGGCATGGACACCTCAGCCTGGCAGCTGCCAGAGAGAAGTGGGAGCGGGGTGGCGGTACTGCTGCTCGTAGTTTCCTTGCGCGCGCTAACTGAATCGTAACCTCTACCCCTCCCCAAACTCTCTTAGTAGACGTCACGGCGATACTGGTTCTACACTCTCGTCCACTTTCTAATGCCCTCACTTAGGACCAAGACCATGGATACATGTAATACAACCTTTGCCTATCAATGTTGATGCTGCTGTCTTGGGATATTCGCCCTTTCCGCTTTTGTACTCTTCCTTGCAAGAAGGCATGTGTCGTATCGAGGGGGCGGGAGGCGGGGGAGTGAGAGCCCTCCTCGATTACCTTCCCCCTTTCCTCTTCTCCCTCTGGAGGGGGGATGGGGAAACCGTTCGAGAATCTGATGTAATCTTTTTTTCTGGTGGCAGGCGACCGTGAGCCTGAGGGGCATTGTTTACACTGGCAGTCAGAACTCACGAAGGCTGCATACGCATAGTGACTCGTATCATGGTCTCCTTCGCTGCTAGACGCTGCACGAAGAAAGGTGTAAACGCACGGTCGCCCAAAGTGCCCTGCACCAGGTAAAGTCGCCGAGCCCAACCTTGCTCTGGATGATGTGTCCAGCATGCGCAAGAGTCAACCTGGGTAAGAGTGACCTCTGGTGCGCGGCTTTTTGGGGGCTGCGGGGGTCCAAACATAAGCTCGCAAGACGCTACTATCGCATCGCGTTCGGCGATCGGGGGGCCCTTTTCGGGGGGGAACAACGGTGGGGCTGGGGCAAAGGTAGGGTTGGAAGGAAAATCGCCCTGAACGGCCCCTGGAAGAAAGACGCACGCTGAACGGGACCATCCAGCTGGGCCAGCTCCCCCACCCCACCTTGGGATAACCCTGCCTCTACGAGCCCCCGACCCCTGGGCCCGCACTCAAGGCCACTCCGGCGAAAGGTCACTCTTACGTGTTCGAGGACGGCGAGAAGAAGGGTGATTTCGACGGCTGCTGGGGCGCCTCAGGTCGTGCTGGAGTGCCTGAGGTCGGGCTGGGGGGACCTCGAGTCCAGCGAAACCAACCTTGTCCAACGAACCCCTCTGGCAGCCTCCTACGTTAGAGGCCTCCTAGATGGGTTCCGAGTAGATGTGGCCGGAGGATCGCGTCGCATTGTCGATGCATCAGCGATGCATCGCCGATGCATGCGACGCATCGGCGACGTCGGCGTGGAGAGAATCGGGCTCCGCATCGAGCCGCTTCGTCGATGCATCAGCGATGCGGCACGATCCTCCGACCCCATCTACTCCGACCCCATTTAGGAGGCCTAGAGACGTGTGGCCGATCGTAGATCGTTTCCCGAGCAGTGTGGCCAGAAAGCGCCCACCACGACGCATATGCAATGAGACTTCTCGGTGCGAGCGTCGCCCCTGGGGGGGCGACGCACATATAGTACAGTCAACCAGTATAGTAAGGATGCGCGATAGGGATGCAAGGGCCTTGGACGCCCACTTCGAAGCTTCTCGGGTGGGGCGCGGCCAGCGAAAGCGGCGAGGGAGGGACCGAGGAGGCAAGGGTGCAGGGGTACCCTTTGGGAAGGTTGCCCCTCCTTGCCATGCGGGTTGACTGCAGAAGCACGCGGGGGCGACGCCGATCAGGGGTCGCCCCGCGTCCCGGCCGCGCCGGGCCGCATGCACCGCCCCCCCCTCCCCTCCCCTTCCCCAGGGGCTTCCTGGGCGGCCCGGCGCCTCTCCCCCCCGCGCGCCCCTCGGGAGCCTTCGAGAGGCCCGGGCGTCCAAGACTGGAGGGGGCCCAGGGACACATAAGAAATACACACATTCTTCAATCCTGTCCTTACTTGTCAGTATTTTTTCATCTGTTCTAGATTCTTTGGATCTGTTCCATATTATTTGGACACAGGATTCCTGCAATTCTTCCATATTTTTTGGATTTCTGTCTTCCCCCCCGCTTCCCACACTTCCGCATCCTTTCCGGGGAGTGGACGACTCATTGTGTCGATGTGTGTGTGTGTGTGTGTGTTTTGTTTTTCCCTCCTGGAAGACGGCCCGGGTAGGCAACTAAGGCAGCCGACATGACGGCCCACGAGATGAACCCGAGACGGCCCAGCATGGCCTCAAGATGGCCCGAGAGGGCCTCGAGACGGGCCGCGAGGGCTTCAAGGGAAGCTCGAGGAGGCTCCAAGAGAATCATTGATCTCCCGGACGTGTTTGACGGATTTTCGCCTTATCACGCTTTCGGGCTTGTGTCAACTGAAGACGGCCCAAGAAACGTCGATTATGGCCCCACGATAGCCCAGGAGAGCCTCAAGGTACCCCAAACGGCAACCAACACGGCTTCAATGGTGCCCAAAAGGGCTCCATGACGGCCCGAAGACGGCCCAAGGGGAACCCAAGACGGACCTAAAAAACCCGAGAGGGCCGCAAGACGACACAGAGAGCGACGGACTCCGAAAGCGCCAGACGGGCCAAGAGCGCCCTCAACCGGTCCAATGAGCCCCCCCAAAGCTCCTCAAGAGGACCCAAGAGGCCCTCACGAGTCGCCCAGGAGGCGCCAAACAAGCCCCGTGTCACATGTGACGTCCTGTTCCGCCACCTCCTCCTCCTCATCATTATATCCTTCACTCCCTTTGTCCACCTGCTTCCTCCTCCTCCTCTTTCTCGCTTGATCCTCCTCCTCCTCCTCCTCCTCGTCATGATCATCATCATCATCATAATCATCATCATCATCATCATCATCATCATCATCACCATCACCATCACCATCACCATCATCATCATCATCATCATCATCATCATCATCATCATCATCATTATCATCATCCGCATTCTCACCATAGCCATCACCATCATCATCACCATCACCATCATCACCATCATCGCCATCGCCATCACCATCAACAACATCACCACCACCATCATCACCATCACCATCACCATCAACAGCAACAGCATCATCATCATCATCATCATCATCATCATCATCGTCATCGCCATCGTCATCATCACCATCGTCGTCATCATCATCATCATTATCATCACAATCGTCCTTATCATCACCATGACCGTCACCATAATCATTGTCATCATCGTTATTGTTATCGTCATCGTCATTGTCGTCACCATCACCGCCATCACCGCCATCACCAACACTACGCGAAATAATTCACCACATGTCACGGCTCTCCCAAACCTCGGGTCACGAAATATCACACGTTACGGTCTCCCGTGCGCCATCGAGCAATTGCCACGGAGAATGCTTGGCTGACACGGTGGCGGGAGTTGCCGCTGGTAGTTGGGTATTCCTCCTTGTGAGCGTTGTCTCCAAACTGCCAACACATGACTTCTACATCTTGCGATGCACGGCGCCCGTAGGAATTCAACAGGCACTGCACGCCATCATTACGAAACGTGGCGCGCACACACAGCTCCCACATCACTGCACACAGCTTCCGCATCATACCCGTATACATGCGCGAGACGCGCATATTCATGCTGTTTGATATGGTAATCTTGAGTGGTCCGTGCACAGACCTCCATGGACCCCCCCGTTGGCCGCTGCGCCGTCAGTCCCTCTCGCGGTCAGCAGGTACGCCATTGCTGCCCCAAGACAAGACACGACAAACCAACCAATCCACTGTGTGTCCCTCCCGCCCCCCTTTCCTTGTCCACTGGTGACCTTGTGCGCGATCTCGTCGTGGTCATTCGCCTTGGACTGCGAAGGGCGATTTGTGCTGCCAGCCAAGCCAACGCGGAACTGCAATAAAGAAGGGCGGGGCTCCTGAGGGAAGCAGGTTCTGGAGCCTAGGGCTCCACCAAGGAAAGCGCCGCTATTGAAACTCCTGGGGCCTGGGGGAAGGCTCTGGGAGGCCGAAACCGACGAAGAGCCGCGGCATCTCTCTCCGTCACTGGACGGGGCCAATCCGATCTAGGACATCTGAGCAGGGCTGAACCTAAACGGTGTTTTTCGTTTTCGTTTTGTCTTCGTTTTCCCTCGCTGTTGTCTCGAATCCGCCTCCACCACAAAACGAAATCGAAACGACAACGGCCCACGATATCACCAAACACACCGTTTAGGTCCAGCCCTTCTTCTGAGCGCGTGGGCCTCCTCGTCCAACGGACGCGACACAACAAAACCTGCGGGCGGGCAGCAGAGCGGGGCGGAGGAAGCGCCGGGCCACGCCTCCTCCTCCTCCTCCTCGTCCTCCTCCTCGTCCTCCTCCTCGTCCTCCTCCTTGCTCCGCCTCCTCCCCCTGCCCCTCCTCCGTCCTGCTCCCTCTTCCTCCCTCGTCCTCTTTCCCCCCCTCCTCCTCCTCCTCCTCCTCCTCCTCCTCCTCCTCCTCCTCCTCCTCCATCTTCCGTTTCCCCTCACTGTTCCTCTTCCTCCTCCTCCTCCTCCCCTCTCCTCCGTCCTGCTCCTCCTGCTTGGATGCCCGCCCACGGCATGGGGTTACTGCCAGAACCACGGTGGACAACTCTGTTCTCACCATCTGACGTGCTGCTGAGGCCAGAAAATGAAGGGGTACTGCCCAGCAGGATAATCATATCCTCCCCCTCTACCTGAGCACGCGGGAGGAGGAGGAGGCGGAGGAGGCGGAAGAGGAGGAAGAGGAGGGGAGGTGAGGAGCGAACAAACAGCCACCGCTGCGGACAACTGCACGGACCCAGCTAAGACCAGGTGGACGAGGTCGT